ATTGTTGGAGTGTAAGAGAGCGTCATTGTTGGAGTGTAAGAGAGCGTCATTGTTGGGGTGTAAGAGAGCGTCATTGTGGTTCATGAAGACGTCTGCAGTGTATCGGTGTGCATAGATGAGTGCGCGTGTATGCGCGTGAATGAGTTAGCGTGTGTGTGAGGTTGAGTGTGTGCGTTTGTGTGTGTGTGTGTGCGTGCGTATTGCGATAATGTGTGAGTGTGTATGATGTGTGAGTGAGTGTATGGGAATGTATGTGTACTTGTGAGGATGTTAGTGTGTGTGTGTGTGTGTGCACGTGTTAGAGTGTGTAGAGGAGCTAGTGTGAAATAGAAAAGTTTTTCAAGCATCTCTTCGAGAAGGGTGTACTGCCTCCCCCCCCCTTCCCCCCCCCCCCGGAGCATGTCTTCTCCCCCCCCCCCCCTCTCCGACCGACAAATGAAAGATGTATATATATATATAATTTACATATAAAGTGTATACTTTAAACAACGTCGCTCTCCCGCTAACCCTGGAAAAGTTTAAGTGCCCCGCGTATAAAAAACATCTGAAGAAAACCCTGTGTCTGTGCGTATATATGTGTGTGTGTGTGTGTGTGCAGGTGTATGTATGTATGTCCGATGTATTGCTCCAGTTAACACAGAGAAAGAAACATCACCTGACGCCCAGGTGAAAACATGACGTCATATCTTACCTGCCTCTCGTCAGCCACGCCTCAACATCGCGGGTAGGAAAATTCCGATCACCTTGCCAATCGAACTATCGATTTCAACACTCTGTATTATAAAAAAACCTTTACTCTGACATTCGAATGCATGAATATTCATGAGTTGTGGGGTCAAGACAATCGTACACAATCAGTCATGTGACAAGATTTCTTATTTTACTCCAGATAACACAAGGCCGCCATTGTTGTATCTATTTATAGATGACGATCATGTGACTGAGGCGTCCTTGACTACAAACCAGGAAGTTTCTGCTTGAAGCCAGAGTGCAAATATTTTCTCACGGGACTACACCGACTTCAGCTGTAATGAGTACCCTGCAGTAACCACAGCAGAAGATTTGTAATTAAGTCAAAATACTAAAATACTGTGTCTACCATTTACATAGCTTTAATGTTTAGGCAAATCTACCACGTAATTAAGAAAGTTAATTTAATTAATATTATTAATTTGTTTCAAATAAATCCGGGTTCGCAACACAATTTTCATACATCTGTTTAAGTGTTTGTTTTTGTTGATGTTGTTGTTTTATAATTTACACCAACCTGAGATTAAGATCTATTTAATTGTAATCAGGAGACCCAACTTACGCAACTCAACAAAAACAAATAAGCAACTCAGTTTAAAATATTGAAAGTATTTTTTTGCACATCGATGCTTTACTTGTACATGTGTTATTTATTCCAATTAAGTTGAAGCTCTATAGATGGAACGTCAAAAAGTATTCTTGTCATTACACGTAACCTTCTCTACTAGCATTACTTTTGATCCAGCCATCAAGCTGGCCGAACAATTCAAGTTATATTGCTTTAGCCTGAACTCTACTTCACCTGTCCAATTAAAAGGGCAATATTAAATCAAACTTTTGTCACATTTAAATCTAATCCATATAACGCATTGGTAAAATTTGCCAGCATTGGTTAATACAATGATGAGTTTGTTAAGACCGATAAAACCAGTCATGAAAACATCTACAAAATTAAACGCTGTTCACGAAAAAGAAATAAAAATTCGCCTTTCGTTAAAAAACAAAACAAATTCCAATTTAATTATCACAGCGAACGAAATAATTTGTCTTGCGGCAAAATTTCGCTAAATCGAAGCCAAACTTCTCGGAATCAATGACATTTTGTGATTGGGGTCCAGTCGGTTTCTGCTTTGATGATTGGTTTGATGAATAGAACATTAAAAAAACGTGTGAGTTGTTCTAGGTTCTATTCAACCAGTTTGGCCTTTTGTTGACGTGGCCTCAATAACGAAGTCGCCTCTCCCTGGGGCGTTGGAAATAAATTAAAAACAAAGATCAAGTTTAGATGAATCAAAGTTTATTTATAGCAACACGACCTACTGGAAGCAGCCGTACGATCATGTGACCTAACACGTGAGTAAGCATACAAAATGGCGACAGAAGTTGACAAGAACGATGTTGATGTGCTAATGGTGAGAAGTGTTGCCGTCGGTTATAAGATAGGAGTCAAGTCAGCGTAAGATGAGTTGATTTTAATTAGAGATTTGACATTTGTCAGATTGATTTTTTATACACGCTGAAAAAAAAATGTTTTAGAAGGTTTCTAATTACCTCCCTTCCCCGTTACTACTACTACACCTTAGAGTTATGTGCCTTTAAATTACTTCCCCTCATTTTGCTGCTACTAAATCGTAGATATATGTACCTTAGTTCGTGATACTTGAGCGGAAAAGGAACAATAGACACGTTGGTTGTTGCAAAGTTGAGGTGTAGGTGGGTTTAGTTAACGTGAATTGATGAAGTTATTGTCATGGGTGGATGGTTATTGTGATGTTGTTATGGGTGGATGGTTATTGTGATGTTGTGATGGGTGGATGGTTATTGTGATGTGATGATGGGTGGATGGTTATTGTGATGTTGTGATGGGTGAATGGTTATTGCGATGTGATGATGGGTGGATGGTTATTGTGATGTGATGGTGGGTGGATGGTTGTTGTGATGAGATCATGGGTGGATGGTTATTGTGATGTGCTGATGGGTGGATGGAGATAGATAATGTAATATTTATGGTTACTTTGAATAATGGTAAAGAAGTGGCTTCTATTGATAATCGGGTTACTGCAACTACAATGGACGATGAGGCTAATATTACTACAATGGTTAATTGCCATGATGTAGTACAAATGGTAATGGGATAGTTGTAGCTACAATGGGTAATGGGGTTGCTGTAGCTACAGTGGATAGTGGGGTTGCTGTAGCCACAGTGGATAGTGGGGTTGCTGTAGCTACAGTGGATAGTGGGGTTGCTGTAGCCACAGTGGATAGTGGGGTTGCTGTAGCTACAGTGAGATTTTGAAACTAGCCGTGCGTTCACAACCATGTAATGTTTCCACAATTAAACCCAGTTGTATTATTGTACATCGAAGTAATACAATGACATGTAATTAGATATCGTATACAGGTAGTTTAACGTACATTGCAAGTGTAATTATCTCCTTTCATTCGACTGTTGGGGGTCGGCGTGGTCGAGTCGGTAAAGCTCATGGTTGCTAAACCGAAAAGTCTCGAGTTCGAACCCTCGGGCAGATGAGGCTCGTTAGCTGGGGACAGCCACTCTTCTAGGAGAGACAACTCCAAAATTAAACAACTTCTGCCTTGTAGTTTGTTCTTGGTTGGACAAAGGCTATGGAAGCAAATCCAAAAAGAAAAGCAGGCTGAAATCGGAGTCAATGGCCTCAATGGCGCATAACCAGTTGACACGTAACGCTTAATTGTTGGAGGCGTGGTCGAGTCGGCAAAAAGCTCATGGTTGATAAATTCGAACAAAGTCTCGAGTTCAAACCCACTGGCAGATAAATCTCGATCCCCTTCAACACTAATAATTAAGAACGAAGAAGAAGAAGAAGATTCGACTGTTCTAATTGTAACCTATATTCACTCTATTAGATTTGCACATCTAGTTTTAATATCACACTAACACAAGTGTTTTTAAAATGTTGATCTATGTACGCATAGGTCTCCTAAATGTGGCTAAAAATTAAAATTTTCAAATTAAAACGTTAAAATTTAATGAAGGGGTGAGGTTTAGAAGCAGGCATAGCTTACAGTCAGGAGAAGTACAGGAGGGGGGGGGGTTCCGTTGCAGGCACGGCATCCATTCAGGTGTTCTAGTGGAGGGATGATGTGTGAAAACAGGAACAGCTAGCAGTCAAACAGGACGTAACAATTGAATAACATCGAATGCTGAAGTTTCACAAACATTAAACAAATACCAACGCACCTTGAAATATATACATAATGCAATATAGACCAACTGGATTCATATTAAAATTATTACATGTATAATGACATTGCCACTGTCATTTTAAGCCCAGTTAGTGAACGTTTACAAAAATATAATAAATACATATTCATATATGGTGCATACATCATATCATCAATTTAAAAAGTATATTATTAATCATGGTTTGTTTACATACAGGAAATGCAAAATGATTACCCTATCCATAAATCTTTTGATAGAAAAAATATATTAATTAAAAACGTGATTTTTTTTACAAATGCAAAAAAAAAATTGTATCTGAGAATAAGACGATTAGTTCTGCACCGTACAACCACCTCACTAGTTAATTATTTAATTAATTACTTAATTGATTGATTGCTGTCTAGGCACATATATAAATAGAACGATATTATTGTTTTAAAAATGCGGATTATATATACGATTTTTATACATTTTAAAATAAAAAAAATTAACTTGCATTACCTCACATATACTTAGATAAAACGAATTCAGTGTAGAAAAAGAACCAAGTTAAAATAGAAACTAGCATTCCATCATGTGTTGTGTACATCTAAAAGATTAACATCGATCTACCAGTAGGTAGCCTGTGTGGGGTCTGTGTGGGGTCTGTGTGGGGTTTGTGTGGGGAATGTGTGAGGTCTGTGGTGGGGTCTGTGTGGGGTCGGTGTGGGGAATGTGTGGGGTCTGTGTGGGGTCTGTGTGGGGAATGTGTGGGGTCTGTGTGGGGGTCTGTGTGGGGTCTGTTTGGGGTCTGTGTGGGGTCTGTGTTGGGTCTGTGGGGCGGTCTGTGTGGGGGTCTGTGGTAGGGTCTGTGTGAGGTATGTGTGGGGGTCTGTGTGAGGTATGTGTGGGGGTCTGTGTGGGGTCTGGTCTGTGTGGGGGAATGTGTGGGGTCTGTGTGGGGTCTGTGGTAGGGTCTGTTTGAGGTCTGTGTGGGGGGTCTGTGTGGGGTAAACTGTGCTGCAGTTATAGATAATAGGATTTTGTTATGTTATGTTATGTTATCTGGTCATGTATAGTGATCTGGTTATCTGGGATCTGATGACGTCAGATGATCTGTTGCCACGTGATCTGATGACGTCATATGATCATGTTTTATCATGTGATTTGATGCCATGTGATCTGGTTGTAAAGGCGCAACAAGAAGTGTGGTGATGGCGTTCTTTGGTACTCAGCGCAAGTTGTAGTGAACTAATAAATCTTCAAACGATTTAATTGGCAGACACTTACACAATGTTCTAGAAAGCTTAAAACAATTTTAAAAAATATTAAATCAATGTTTGATGATTATTACATTTAATAAAACAATACCTAACATAAAAAAATAAGCACTGTTTTTTACTTGTTGTTTGTTTCTGAATGAAATAAAATGGCGACTGTTTCACAAAGTTTGATACAAATCGTAACTGGTGAGTTTATCAATCGTTAAATCAGAGCCTCGGCTTGATTGGATGTTTACCTGGCGTGTTTGCCTAGCCTGTTGACATTTCTACTCATGCCTAAACCAGTTGTACTTGCGTCTGCTTGTCTTCGGTAAAAATCTGGAGATAAACTTGCTGGCGCACATTGATTTTGTGGCCAGGTTTGGCGTCGCTGCGGGGGGCGAGGCTGATGTCGGGGCGTGGGGGGACGAATCCATAAAAGAACAAATTTGGTTGGTCGCCTCAGGGTGGATCTTGGCGGACTGTGAATGCATAAATCCGTGCGTGGCATCAGATCTTCTGCTGGGAGCAGCAGGATGGCCGGTAGTGGATTGAGAGTGGCCAGTAGTAGACTGATGGTGGCCATGAGAATGGCCAGTAGCATGTTGGCCATGGGGATGGCCAGAGCTAGTGTGAGGATGGTCTCGCGCACGGGATTTCTGGTCTTGTTGAACTTTAACCGGTTCAGACGAATACAAGTTCAAAGCATCGTTGTGAGAAAACACAAACGCTTCTAGATCCGTGGGACTTGAGCGGAGCAGATCGTCATCAAACACGCCATGGTTCACATGAGAAAACTTCGGGATCGAATCCGGGCTAGTCGGAGATGGAATGGTAGTCCCGGGGAGGGACGCTACTCGTGGGGATCTCGCGTGAAGTCCGTATAAACTACCGGGGCAGGCTGGAGAGTGGGAAGTGAGTGCCAGACGACTGGTCTGTGAGAGAGGTGGGGTCAGGAAGGTCGGGTAGGTGGGGGGCGGCAGCGGGGTGGAACTGCCTGAAGAATGCATAGTGTGGTGGAGACGCAGGATCCGGTCCCGGCAGATGACGCAGCGGAGCGGCAGGCACCTCTGCGACACGGCCACCTGGATGGTTTTGATCAAGCACTTCCGGCAGACGACTTTGTGGCCACAGGGGAACGTCTGCATGGTGGCAGGTGCCGCTAGACAGACGACACACTGGAAAATAAAATCAAAACTTTATTTTACTACCGCTTTTAAACAGTTTTACTTTTTCATAGTATTCATCATCTTAACTAAAACAAATACTATAACACTATCTGTAAGACAACTTTCGTAACTAATATGTTGATAAAGTAGACATTTTGAAGAAACAGCAAACGTAAGCGATAATTATTTTATTTAAACAAAATTTGACGTAAAATAATTTAACTATTTCCCGAAATAGAACTATTCTTAGTTTTTAGAACAAGTAACTTCTAGTGTGACGGCGTGGTCTAGTGGTAGAACGCTATACTGCCATCCCTAAAGCACCGAGTTCGTATCCTGGTTAAGTCAGTAGAACGTCCCTGAGTCAAACCAAAGGGTACACAATTCACGTTAGGGAAAGGAAAGGACATAGTGTTGACCACACAATCACTTCATATGCCGAGGTCACAGAAACAGGGGAACTCTACTTCACTTGCCCCATTGACCGTCAGGTTCGAAGATGAAACTTTACTTTTAACATCTATAACACTTCAAATTATACAGCTGTATTATAATTCTAGTGCAGAGCATCAAGTGAACTCAATGCCACTGACTCACCCCATAATACAGGACTTTTGCATATCAAAGCATGTACAAACCATGTTCAATTGATATCATCAAAATTTTCACTCACAGCAATTATCTATTTAATGATAATACCTAACATTTCTAGATACCAATGGTATCAATTTACCCCGGCAGTAGTAAATGTTTAAGCACTATTCATGTGTTTGTTGCAAATACACGGTTTAAGAGTGCAAGAGTATTGATAGACGACCTGAACGATCAGAGTAATTTAAGAATTGCGTTAGTTTTAATAAACGACAACCAGGCTGGACAAATTGAATCGTCCAACTGGGTCAAGCAGCCTAGTTATTGTTACATAGAATCGATCGATATTCAGATCGATGGGGGGCGGTGACCTATATCTCACGCGGCAGTTAGAAGGTCTAGAAACAAACTGCAAACAAGATCACAAACGTCACAACACGGAGGGGGGGGGGGGGGTTGTCAGTCTAACCTATACCCTGTATTGACTAACGTTTTCTTCAAACTGATGTGAAAATAGCTCATTGCTACTTCGTCGCTAGATAAGGTGGAGGGGTGGGGGGGGAGGGGGTTGGGGGTAAACGTTTACATATATATTTATATTCATTAAACGTGGGACTCGCTGTAGAAAACAAAACCGTTTTCTGTTTTTATTGAATTGTAATTTCACTGAATCAATAGCTGGCAGGCTGATGTGTTTCTATTTACAGTTTCTCATGTTAAGTCGGCGTCGAGAATCTATAGCGTCACATAAAGCTATACCAAAAAAAATAGCGCCGTTTATCTTCCTGTGTTAGACGAAATGTCAAACTCCGATGGACGCTAAAACAAAATGATAAACTTTCCATAGCCGTTCATGCGGAACGACTGCTCTAAACATTTCTTGGGAACAAACTTTTCGATAGCCATTTATGTGGAACGATTGACCTAAACATATCTTCAGACGAATTTTTTCAATAGCTATTGACGCGGAACGAGTGATAAAAATTATTTTTTTTTCTTTAAATAATGTTGTATGTGAAACAAAAGACGTTTTCCAATGTTGAAGTTTTACATTTATCTGAACGATATTGTTTTGGAAATGATATTGTGGACTGAAAGTTATATTCAAAATACAATACGTAGTTTGTTGGAGTTAGCAACGGAGCATTATTGAAAGGAAACCTAATATAGAATCGTAAACAACAGCAGTAAACTTTGTTATAAACTGTGCGATTGTAATAGGATTTGTTGACATTTTTCAAGACCAAAAGAAATCTAAAAATAGATTTATCTAACATAATCATTCCGCGTCCGGATTCTGTCAACGCTGCCGTAAATTGTCCGGATGCCAAAGATTGTCCGGATGCTCCGTCTTATTACTTCTTTGATCGCACACACAAGTGTCGGTCTAAATATCCGGAAATTTCCGTAAGACCGGCTTCAAAGCGCTGGCGAATTTAGAAGCTACTTTGTTCCTTATTACTTGTTCTGCAACGCCTGAAAATCTTCCGCAACAAAGCAAAACTTGTATTAGACTTTTCTGGTTCGCAGTAGCGAAAACAAATTAAAAAATAATAAGATAAAAATCGCAGAAACAAAAAAATATATTTTAAGTACGACGCAAATTATAAGAGTGAATGCTTTGTTTTAGCTTTTCTATAATAACACTGAAGCAGTTATCCAGGACAAAAATCGTTGTTAAACCCTATGAAAATACTAGCTAGAATTTCGAAGCATCACTGGGTATTGATATGTTTCTAAAATTGGAATCATCACTGCGTCTTCGTTGAAAACATAATCTCCGATTTTAAACCCAAAAAAAAAATTGTGCACAGTAATGAAAAGAAGGAAGGCTGGTATGCAGGATATGACGTTTGACATAAAAAACCACAGAGATAATATCTGTAATTACCTCTTCCTCTAGCTGAAGTCTGCTTTGATTGTCTGCTTCTGTCTCCCCCATCTTGGAAAGAAGCTTGTCCTGTGAAGAAATGACGTATGATTATCACGTGATGTTGGTTGAAAAATAGAAAAGTATACTGCTCGTAAAGGTTACAGCCATTAAACTTTGTTTTAATCGAAGAGAAATTGTATCCGCGAGATTATAATTCCTGGAATTGTCAGACGGAGACAATTATAACAGCGACATCGGGGGAGTCGATAAGTTTATATTTAGATGACCTACCTCGGTTATGTACACAACAACAGTGTCGTCTCTGCCCCACCTCCCACCCCGCCCCAAACCGTACTTTCAAACCCCAGTCTCCTGCTCTCTACAACATCGATCTCCCCAATTCAACAATGGCATACAGCTCCTTAGGAACGCTTTGGTCGATTGGTAGAGCGTTCGACTTCTAAATTTAAAGTGTCGAGTTCGGATCCCGGGCTCGAGTCTGTAAGACATCCCTGAGTCCACCCAGCTTTAATGAGTACCTGGCTCATGTTAGAGAGAGTAAAGGCGGCTGGACATAGTGCTGACAACACTGTCACTACATATGCCGAGGTCACTAAAACAAGTGAATTCTACTTCACCATGGAACTTAAGTTTTCTAAAGGGCAGTTTACTATGCATGCTACATACACCCACTTGCCCACCCCCAATTACTCTCCCTTCACAACAGCTACCCAGCCACCAAGTTTACGTTCCACCCCCATCTTATACTCCCTTCCCAATCATACTTGCCGCACACATAAGACCTGCCACTCACATAAACGTGTTGGGACTCCCGCGCTACTACCCCACTCTCACCCCCCCCCCCCACACACGGCTCTGTTAACCCTTTCATGAAACCTCTAGCTCTCCCTCACAACACACACCCACACACACACACATACACACACACACACGAGAGCTCTGTTTGCCAGCTCCCTCTCATAAACCCTCTAACTCCCTAACCCCCCCCCCCCCCCCAACTACAGTCTTCGCCTCATTCAACACCCCAAACACTGCCCACCCCCTCCCCACACAAAGTGAAACAGCCCCAACCCTCTGTATAACTCCTGTGTCTCTCTGGTGCCTCTACTTCAGTTTTTTCCACTCCCACTCCGCTCAATTTTTTAATACAGAACATGCATGCACCTCATGTCTTATGCTGAATCCCACCCAATTTTTTTTTCAGAGCAGAATCCCACCTTCCCACCATTATTTCTCCGAACCGAATCCCACCCATTATTCATGGAAGCTAAGCCAAGCCCTTATTTCTTTAAGATTAACCAGATGACGAAATAAACACTGATCAATAAAACTTAGCATTAATTGCAACCGCATCATTAGCTATTGAAACATCTTTTTTATAGATAGCGGAAGAACTTTCTTCGAAGAATAGCTAAACACCTCCTATTTTTTCAGATAGCACGCATGCGCGAAGCACAACTTGAGTTCAGTGCTGGAGAAATCATCTTCAATAGTTCATAAACTCTTTAGCTTGATATCCCACGTTAAAGGCTATTCGGGTCATATTGCAAACGTTATAATTTAAGAAAAATATCTGTTATATTTGATGCAAAGACGTTCCCCCAGAGGGGGGGGGGGGGGTGTTGCTTTATGAATCGATAGATCAAGCAATTAAAAATACGTTAAATGTTAATGAAGCGGTGTTCAATTTCAACCACACACAGGCACACAGTGTTGGGGTGTTGAGGTGTGTCAGCCCCAGGCGAAGAGATGTGTGATGACACCTCAACTAGTTACTGTAGTTTGCCTCCGAGCAGTGGCGTAGCGAGGTCGGGTGTCACCCGGTGCGGCACTTAATGGTGTCACCCCCCCCCCCCAGAGGCATAGAGACCCTTCCCAGGGACAAACTTTCAAATTTTCGATCTGCACCCCCCCCCCCTCAAACTTTCGATTTGCACCCCCCCCTCGAGTTTTCGATTTGCACCCCCCCCCCCCTCAAACTTTCGATTTGCACCCCCCCCCTCGAGTTTTTCTCTATATATTTTGCTATTTTTTGCCTTGGTGTCACCCCCCTAAATGGTGTCACCCGGTGCGGTCCGCACCCCCCGCCCCCCCCCCCTCGCTACGCCCCTGCCTCCGAGAAATATCTTTACATATACAATTATCTTATCGCAGCTCAACTGTATATCATAGAGAATTCAAACTTACAACATAATTACCGAAATTACTACGACAATTAAGGATTAATTAATGATTGTAATGGTTAACTTCTTTAAACATAAAAGCAATTAAAAAGAGTAATTAAAAAATATTTGTTAAAATTGAGGAAGGAATTATTTTTATCGGATTATACATGAATCATGATCATTTTCTCACATCAAATATTTACGTTTTGAATATCCATTCAAAAATTAATTGAGATTTATTTTCAAACATCACGTTTTTCAATGCTGTCTCGTAATTCTTGTTTTCCCATCTTTTTCTATCCATCTTTTTTAAAATTATTCTCTCCTTTAAATTTGTCTTAGAAGCGTACATCTATGTGAAAAATACTAGAGTTGAGCGCTTCATTATCCAGATTCACAAATCTTAATTAATTAGGTAAAACGTTGATTTTGTTTTTAGAAAACAATTTTTGTTAATTTAATTAATTGCCAATGATTAACAGCGTTTAATTATTTCTGATAATTACTTAATTATTGCATAAAATATTTAATCAAAGCGTTATTTTTGATCTGTCAAAAATCGAAAGGGGTCTGTATTCGAAATAATATCGAAACAAATATTTTTTTAATGCCGTGTAATTATTTTTTGTTTCGTTCTCTCAAGCCAATACCCGGTGAACAATTTCATATAATTGGGAGCCGTTTTGTGCGGTGACAGTAATTTTAATAAATCGTCCAGACTGATTTTTTTTTTAATGGGAAGCAACTCAACAAAACGAGCCTGACAAAATTTAAATTCAGAATTGAATTGAATATGCATACACAGATATTCCTAATTATCATATTTAAGTTTAAAAAGTAGACACAATACACGCACAAACCATATGCACAAATGTACAAGAAAACATTTTTTTAAATTTATAAACTATAATATAACAAACTTAATTTAACTTTTTTCGTCAGTGAACGTATGCTAGAGAAATTAAACTAAAAGCGACCGAATGCTATGTATAAGTCAGAACAGCCGCCCCCAATTAAGTATAGGGTCTACAGTAAATGACTTTTTCCGACTCAGGGCACTGTAACTGCGACCCGTCCCAGAAATAATAACAATTTACTGCCGCCTTTGATGGATTGGCTGAGGATTCAGTACTTGACCCCTAGACCTGGGTCTCTCTCAGATTTAACAGCCCCCCCCCCCCCCCCCCCCCCCACATACTGAATACTCCTATATCCTTCCGATCCGTTCCTCAAAAAAATTCTAGATTTTTTTTTTCATTTTCAAAATTACTCAAATAATATAAAATTGAACTAGAGATTAAAGTTTGATTATTTTAAGCAACAGGATAATTCCAGACAAATCTAATTAATAATCCACTACTGTACACTCAGTGCGAGACCATGATGACTTTTAGTAACAGGAGATAATGAGGTACAAAAGCAGACGGCAAAGAGGTACAATAACAGACGGTGATGAGGTATAATAGCAGACGGCGATGATGTACATAATTAGACGATAATGAGGTACATAAGTAGACGATGATGAGGTACAGACGCAGACGATGATATCGAAGCAGACGATGATGAGGTACAATAGCAGACGATGGAGATGTACAATAACAGACGATGATGAGGTACAATAGCAGACAATGATGAGGTACATAAGTAGACGATAATGAGGCACAGACGCAGACGATGATGAGGTACAAAAGCAGATGATGATGAGGTACAATGACAGACGATGATGAGGTACAATAGCAGACGATGAGGTACAATAGCAGACGATGATGAGGTACAAAAGCAGACGATGATGAGGTACAAAAGCAGATGATGATGAGGTACAAATACAGACGATAATGAGGTACAAAAAAAGACGATGATGAGGTACTAAAACAGACGATGATGAGGTACAAAAACAGACGATGATGAGGTACAAAAGCAGACGATGATGAGGTACAAAAACAGACGATGATGAGGTACAAAAACAGACGATGATGAGGTACAAAAGCAGACGATGATGAGGTACAAAAACAGACGATGATGAGGTACAAAAACAGACGATGATGAGGTACAATAGCAGACGATGATGAGGTACATAAGTAGACGATGATGAGGTACAATAACAGACGACGATGAGGTACAAAAGCAGACGATGATGAGGTACAAAAACAGACGATGATGAGGTACATAAGTAGATGATAATGAGGCAGAGACGCAGACGATGATACCGAAGCAGAGGATGATGAGGTACAAAAGCGGACGGTAAATGGGTACAATAGCAGACGATGATACCGAAGTAGACGATGATGAGGTACAATAGCAGACGATGATGAGTCTCTGAAACCCAGGGATGATCGCTAATTGATTACAATAATACTCCGCTCTCTATAACAAGTGGTCTAGAGTGGTATCTTGAGGTGATTGGCCGTCTAATGGTCACTGGCTCCGGCAAAAACTTCCGGCTTCAACCTCCTCGCCTTGCCGGCAATTATTTTGTAATTCGGATCTCCCCCGGCTTGCGGTCATTCCCCCCCCCCCCCCCCACCCCACCCCAGAATGTAGCTAACAACAGATTTAAAAAGAAAACGGCACTACAGAACTAATAGGCATATTATGGTATCAGGTCAACGTGACACGGCGACTTGACGGAGAAAATATTGCATGATTGAAGAGCAAATTATTGTTTGGATATTGATTGGTGTGCGTTACGTGTATTTAAAAAAAAAAAAACTTGGTTTGGGCTGGCTAAATATGTGGAGTTTTAAATAAAATGTTTTGAAAATAACTCGACGGAGTAGAATAAATTTATAAATAATTGAAAAAAATGAAAGATAATTTATTCCACTTCTTTATTTTAAGAAATTTAAAAAGTTATAGATTTTAACGGAACTAGCAAATAAGCAAATAGATAAAGGCTTGTTT